GGATTAAAGCAGCTCTTCTCGCAACTTTAGATATACATTGTACAACGATTCACACCAGCACATAGTGACCGGGGCGTACATGAGCATCCTCATCATCAAAACATACTCACTAGTTGAACTAATTTGTACCAATACAACACTAAATGGGGAGAAAGGGAGAGAAGTGAAAATAATAAATTAATAATGATTTGTATCATAATTTTTAGTATTGATTATGATAATTAGACACCATGTGCTTTTAGTATGCACAAGCATATAGATGCATTAATATATTACCTTTCAGCTACTAATTTCAAATCATCTCTTTTCATGTGGTGTGGTCTTTTTGACTGATAGCTTTGGCCTTTGGAGGCTGTGAGTTAACAGTGAGTTTGAGCAGTCTTGCACTCGGTCTTGCACTCTTGCACTTGTTGGGCGGATCCCTATCTGCTGTGTAGGTGGAGCCGGAGCATTATTTTTATCAATATGGTCGACTTGTGTCAATGGAGAGCAAGTATTGGACTTTGGAACTGCTCTCAGACTCGTTGTCAGACGACGTCAACGCTCAGTAAACCATCTAATAGGAACTGCTTTCACTCATTCAGTTTTCTAAAGCCTCTCCAGAAGGCACCGTTTAACCTACCACTGAAAGTTTACTTTTTTGCCGCTGTCCTCCTACTTCTTCTTCTTCCCATCTTCTATTTATCTTCGTATGTAAAGCTCGAGTCTCACTCTGGGTATCACTATACTTCAGGTATAAAACATATCAGTATTATGTTTTTAGTGTGAATGTGCATGCCGTGCCAAAAATTGCTAGCCATTGTACCCTATATATGTATATATATATTGCGGATTTTTTCACCAATAATAGTTTTCGCAAATGACCCACATCAGGAAGTTTGTGAAATTAATTTTGCGAATTTCCACTATTCTTCCATTTTGTACCATATTAAATTGATTTTCAAGGAATTTAATTTCGTGAATCTTGAATAATCCACAAAATTTGTGAAATTTGTTATCCTAAAAAAACCGCTATATGGTATTTTTGCAAACGATAATAATTATGGTATCAACCGTATCAATAATTATGTATCGGTCAGAGTTCCATTTAGAAATATTTGTTTGGGATAGGGATAAAATTTGCCACACATGGTAAGAGGCTTTGGGGGAAGTAAACTTTCATATTGTTCTTGTTTTTTTTTTAATCGTTGAGTGTTTGGTCTGATAACTGGTCAAATTCAGTGCATATTCTCATTGTATAATCTCATAACACCTTAAGTAATTTTTTATTTAAGATTATTTTTGGGGGAAGATGTAGAGTTTGGCTCCAGTAGATAACTTTTATTTAGTAATACTATTGTACATATTATACATGCATGCATGTGTACATGTACATGTACATGTATCTATGGTAATGGTTACAGTACAATTTTTCTTGTTTTTTGTTAATTGTTGAGAGTTCGGTCTGTTAACTGGTAAAATTCAGTGCATATTATCCATAGCAGTTTGAGTGCTGATTTAAAATTTTTTGGGGAGAAAGAGTTTGGGGTAGAAGGTTACTCCCACTATCTCCCCAATAAATAAAACCCTGTCAGTATCAAAATTTTGAAGGAATTCTGGTCATGCTGTTTCGTATATAATAATAAAGTACATGTAAGTTAATGATGTAAAATTACATAGACATGTGTGAAAAGCACAACATGCCATATACTAGGGATATTTTCAAGTCGCTAATTGTCAAATCATAAAATTTTGTGAATTTAACCAGATTTACCATTTGTTGATATAAATTTTTGTGTATATTACATTTGTAAACAACACATGTACTTTCTGCGCTAGTGTGCCACACCTTGTTTTCGGAATTTAATTTCGCAAATTTAATGATAATGCAAAATTTATTTCAAGTGAAATATAACCCCTATGCAGTATCAGATATAGTACTAGCTACAAGTATGTGGACTGTTTTAGAGCAAACCAATATGATTTGAGAATGGGAGAAGCTATAAATTTTATTTCTGAAATCTGAATATTGTTCTCATGTCATGTTTTTTGCTTCATTTCTGGATTTTTAGTTCTACATACATTTTTATGTGTCTACATTGAAGAGGATATGCACTTTTGACATTATTGCATATTAATTATTACTCTAGAACCTTCTAGGACTTTTTGTGTTTTCTAGGACTTTCTTAATTATTCTTATTCATCTGTATGTAATGTACTGTACATTATTATTACACATGTTACCAGAACATTCTAGATTCTTTTCAGTTTTGTATATAAGTGTTCTGTGGTTGTGTTGTATATAGTTCTTAGTTATTGGTTCTTGGTTTATTTAAGACTAAGTAAAGTTAACTTGGTTGTATTCAAAAACTCTAACATACATTTGTGTATTTGTAAATGAGGTTGTCATTGATTTTTGCACTGTATTACATGTATGTGCATTGTGCATATCTGTCATAATTATTTTTGTCACTATTATAGGTACATGCATCACTGTTCATTGTCACTCGATTCAAGCACCAGTATGTTGCACTACTCTGAGCTACATGTACACGTATATACAGCCACCAGTATTGGCAGAAGACACCATTGACAGTTTAAGATTATTTTATCAATTAGTTTTCTTCCTCCTCCTATTATCAGGCGATGTTGAGATTAACCCCGGTCCTAAGATTGATGATCAACCTAGTGTTCCTTTGTTGCTTGAATTACTTAAGCCACTTGTTGACTGGAAATTATTTGGCCTTCATTTACCTGGAATGACACTTGATATTATTGAAACAATAGAAGAATCAGAAAATGATATTAATCTTCAAAAAGAAAAACTTTTCAGGGAGTGGCTCATTAAAAATGCAAACACAACTTGGAAAGATGTCATTTCAGCATTGAAAAGGAGAAAGGAGTTTGAACTGGTGGATCTTATTAATAATCTATTGGAATCACAAGAGTATTCAGGTAGGACTTTACTAGTACAATTAATTTATTAATTAACTTTTTGGCTTTATACATGTACATGTATAATAAAACTTGGTTGTGTAAAAATTTTTATCCCATTACATTTTCCTTTTTAATGTTTGCTTTCTGAAGTAATTACAGCATTTATTTAAATCATTAATCTCTATGCTACTGCATGCATGCATAATGTACATGTACATTTACAGGTAATTATGAACAATTTAAACCCATCATCTACTATTCAACTTGGTTTAAAGCAACTTTGTGGTTACTTTGGCCGTGTTGTCAACACTGTTGCCTGAATTGAACATTGTTCCATTTCAGGCAATAAAGTTGAAACACATCAAAGTAACCACAAAGTTGCTTTCATCATTTAGTGTAGGTACAATTTTTAGTTAAATTAGTCTCCCAAATTTATTTCTATAGATCTAAAGTGATTATGAAAGCACTTAGTGCCATTTACTGATTTGTTACTATGCATGTACAATGTATAGGTAATGAAGATACTGTACCAGTGACACCATCATCATCAGTTTCTGCTGTTAATGCTGGCACTATGCCCATTTCTTGTGCTAAAGAAGGTAAAATACACTTATTGCAGATACATGTATTTGTTATTAATAATAAACTGATGCAGGTAACACTCCTAGTGCTATTTTGAGGATGAATTATGCTACTCTTGTGGATGCTATTACTTCTTGTCTTTACAGAGTAACACATGAACTATATGCTAAAGAACTGATACCAATGGAAACTATTAATCATATTCAAACAGCAAAAGGAATATCTGATTTACGTAAAACTGGTCAATTAGTGTCTGTAATACAAAGGCAATTGGAATGTTCTTATGATCCTCGTCAATATCTTATTGATACTTGTCATGTACTAATGAATCAGCGTCACAAATCACTGGTAGATATTGCTACTTCTATATTACTCAAGTTAAAAGTACATGTACATGTAGGTGAGTAAAGTATATAATACTAATGCCCATAATTACTAACAAGAGTACTCTTGTTCATAATACATATAAGTGTGGTATTGTACATGTATCTACATGTATATGAACATAATTAGCTTTTGTTAAGGCATGAAAATTGGTTAATTTAGAGTCCTGTAATTAGCATTTTCTTGATTGTAAGACAAATGAGCATATTACATGTAATAGCTGGAAATACTTACATGTATTTGCAACTAGACCCAGTTGATCTTCTCAATGATTTGTGGTTGCTAAATCACCAGTATAAAATCAACAATTACAAAATTTTTAACAAATTGCCAAATACTTCATAATTTTTTTCAGTGTTTCTTTGGTGCATACTGTCCATTCAAATACTGACAATTGGTCTCATCTACAATTCTTTAAAATATTTAATTTCATGTATGGTTATTTATAGCTCAATTAGCGTGGTCAGTTTTGATGGTTGGTATTTTATGTGTCAGTTCTTTTTAAAGCCTAGGTTCATTCAATTGGCTTTGAAGTCAGTGGTTTGATTCCATGTTGTATATCTTATTCCATTTATTAATCTACTAGCTAGTACATGTACCTGGATGTTTGCAAAAACAATTTTGGCACTACATGTATGTAAAAACGGAGAACAAACTATAGTAAAGAATCTGCTGCACGTTGCACCAAATCTGTTTATGAGATGCTTGGTAGCACCCATTCTTTCTTCCAACCAACTTTTGTATTAGTGTTGTTCTAGTTCTTATTTTTCAAATAGTTCTAGTTTTAGTTCTGGTTCTAAGCCTTTAATTTGCTTAGTCCTAGTTCTAGTTCTGGTTCCAAATTTGCAGTTTGTATAGTTCTAGTTTTAGTTCTAGTTCTTTATCAGTACTTTGTGTAGTTCTAGTTTTAGTTCTAGTTTCAAGCAAATACTCTACACAGTTATAGTTTTAGTTCTAGTTTTAAGCTCCTATTTTTCATAGTTCTAGTGTAGGTTTAGTTTTAGTTTAGTTCTATTTCCTTTATTTTGACACTTTTTTCAATGATAAAAGCTCTAATCAAGGTAGTTGGCTACATTTTATACAGTCAGTAGCATATTAGTAACGCGGTAGCGTTACTAAGTAGGATTCACCCCCAAACAAAATGGCTGCCACAACTTTTGCAGCCTTGCTATACCGGGAAAACGAGCTCTTATGCTTACCAGACTTCTTAGAGGACCTTATCTTGACCAGAGGACTCCATTGGTACCCATAGCGTGGGTCTAGACCTTGTCTAAAAGAAAAGCCAAAAATCGGTGAACCGGCCGTTTTGTTCAGCCACCTTTTTTCATCTTCATCATCATCATCATCAAGAAAGTTAGTCCTGTCAATCCAGTTGTCAGTGTGTATCTCAGTATCAGTTGGTGCTACAAGGATAATTCTTACACCAATCTACTCCAACAGTCTATGCGCAGGTCCATGTCCCATCAGATCATTCTTCAAGTAAAGAAAAAGTGATACTGTGACTGCTGGATAGAGCCATCTTAGCTGCATGCCGCCATTTTGTTAATTAAAGAAGCATGTGCTCCAAAATTTGGGTGTGGTCGCGCATGCTCAGATCTGCAGCTCTGGAAGAAGCAAGTTATTTTTTTACCAAGCTATGCTTGGAATCAACTACTGCAATACTTTAGTGGAGGTTTCCAGCTAAAAGAAGGTATTAATTTTACATGTTACTGTTTTATCAAGTGTGTGATTTTATTTTATTTTAAAAACAAACAATTAATTAATGTATGATATGCAATGCCGGATAATATGAATGACAACAGCCTGGAAGAACAGGAATAGCTGCAACATAACATGCAGGGAAGATGGACACTCTCAGCTCACAGCTTCTTGAACAAGGACTTGTGTCAAGACTAGTATTAATTTCACTTGTCATCAGGATAGTTGCTATTCCTTCAGCATGTCTATTCAATGCTGTCTCTCATAAATGCTGTAAAGTCATAACAATGATAATAATAATAAAGAAAATTATTGTTTGTGTAAAATCAACAAGCATCACAATGGCAACTAAAGAAATATTATAAATATTATAAAAAAATCAACACAAACAAGAACATAAAAAATTAAAAAAAAACAAGGTTAAGTAGGATTCCAAACGACCAACGAAAATACGAAATGAAAATCCTACTCGTGACGCAAGTTCTACTCTACATTGCAAGGTGATCC